TGTGTGTGTGTGTGTGTGTGTGTGCGTGCGTGCGTGCGCGCGGACCAGCCCCAAGGTTTATGATTACAGTGTTTCAATCCGCCTAATAAACTAGAATTTTAAGGATCCCGAGTTGGACATTTGTAGCCAACATAAGGTGTTGGTGTTGTTCCTCTGATGGTTGTTTTGTGGCTGGGGGGCATGTTCTTGGATTACATGACACCCAACAGCACCCTTGAAAGGCTCTCAAGGCACCCTAGAGAATCACTGCTCTAATGCTTCTAACAGGATACCAGGCTGCAGAAGACTGATGAAACAGTAATGATATTTGCTCATTTACTGCAAAATACTCACTTAGCTTTTTCAATAAACTCTGACTCAATGTTACTGCAATCTTTAGCAAGCAAGAAAACCATTTCTGTAATGATTGTATACCCTCATTCCATGAATACATCTCTTCTCCCAGATCTGCCAGCATCTATAGAGATGCAGCAGTCTATTCTTTATATACTTCCTTTTGGACCCTCCATCCTTTCCAGTCAGCTGCAGAATTTGTAGGATTTCAACAGCTTAGTACTCCCTTCAATATATATATATTCAATACACACACACACACATTTGGATAAGACTATCAAGGTACTTAAAAGAAATAATTACAGTATTATGACTGACACAGCTGGAGAACTCGGGGACAGGGTCACTAGCTACATCTAAATAAAAAGTGTGAACACCAAAGAATTATTTGGAGTGATGCATAGACAAATGTTGTTAGAAGCAATTGAACAAAAGTAAGGAAAATGGACTGGATATCACAGGAAATTTCCTGAGAGCAAGCTCTATTCAAGAACTGAATAGATACTCAAGGAAAGTAATGGAAACCCACTGGTTGAGAAATTTTAGAATGAGACTTCACAAATCATTTAAGTACCAAACAGCACTAGCAGAAACTTGGATTGGACAACCTAATAATACTTTTTGATCTTTAATATCTGTGTCAAAAAGATAATACTAAAAATACTCGGGTTTGATCATCTTGCAATACCCAGGTGAGAAGTATTGTAGAGATGTGCAAGCAGAGGGTTTCCCCCTCCCCCAGCACTTCTTGGCTCAAAACTTCTCTCAAACCAAGAGCCCATCACCTCACTATAAACCATTCCATAATTCCAAGTTTAGCAAATGCCTCCCAAGTGCTCTATTCTCAGTAACCTTACCCAATCCCCAACTCTTCAACCACACGTATACGTACTGCTAGAGCTGCAGGAACAGTGGCAAAAACAAAAAAGGAACTTTTTTGTGGCTCGAAGGAGCAGGTGCAAAAGACCCAAAAATATTGCTACAGTGGAGCTAATCTGGAGGTCAGTAACTGGAAGTCATTCAAAGCATTCAGATGTATTGGAGCTTCCGAAGACTGAAGTAGCCTCAGATCTACCAGGAATTTCCCAGTGGGAAAAAATGCTGCAGTCAGGCCCTCTCAGAGGTCAAGAAAGGCCCGGGCCACTTCCATTTTTTGAGGCTCAAAATACAATGCAATAATTTATAATAAATGTTCCTTTTTTATTTAACAAGTGCTTTTCTAGCTTTTTTCTTCTTCTTTCAATCCTGTCAGTGTATCTCTGTGTCTGTATGTATAACCTCATTTGGAGATAACGTCAAAAGTCTAAATTTGAGGCCCTCCGTGAATGAGAGGCCCGGGCCAAATGGCCCTCCTGGCCCCCACTGTGATAGGCCCTGGCTGCAGTAGAGTAAAGCAGCCAATAATGTTACAGCATGACTGATATTTGAGGCATTACAGAGATGCTAGCTCTGCAACTCTGTAAGAATCAATGACCTGATGCACCTGGACAATGAATAGATACAAGTGTAATGCATGTTTGCAACAGCTGGACAGTTGTTTCTTGCAAAGTATAGGTGAGAGAATATATTTGAGCATATAAAGATGCCTACTCACTCCAGTAGATATCAGCTGCTTAATTTTTGTTCCATTACATAATGCCCATCGTTAGAAATACTTGCATCGGTGCCTAACTTGTAAGCTATATGTCTTTGACTGCTATGCAGTAAATATAAATCATTACAGGACATTTTAAAAACTAACCCAAGCAAAACTGGGCTTAATGTTATTTGCCCTGCATCTAAAGATATCAGTACTCATCAACAGCAAGATAAAGCTCACAAAAGATTGAAACTGCACTTCTTCATGAGGCACAATTACAGCTTATGGGAAAGGCCAAGGGCACACTCTCGCTTTTACTGGACTCTAATGCAAAAGTCTTCTCATGATTTTCCAATGTGTGCTTTAAATGTTAAAGTCCAGGCTTTGTCTTGCTTCGTTAGTTTTATTATTATTTGGAACCCCATACCTCTTCTCCATAGGTGCTGGGGTAGAGCTCCTAGTCACAAAATTAAAGTTTCTATTACTTACCATCCCATCTATCATACCAGCCAAGGTATGCATTGCATTAGAATTGAAAAAAATATATACCAGTTTAATAATTTACTTCTGTTTTATCTGATTTACAGTTTAAATCATTCAGGGCCTTAATTTACTGCTCATGGTTCATACCAAGACAGTTCATTTTAAGCTATTCTAAGCCATATACTGATTAGGTAAAGAACAAAGCTTGCCAAGTTCTGTTTCTTCAAAGCTCTGAAATTCTTGAAAGTGATGGTGCATGTATTTATCCAGGTAGAAAATCTACTACTGAGATAAGACATTCTGTACCTGCCAGAATGGTTGCAGTGGAAGCAGTCTTTTTATGTGCAGGGTTTCTCTCATGAAATCAAGTTCCTGGAAACCTTAAGAATAAGGTTAAGTAACTTTTTCAATGAGTTCATAAATTTCCCTCTACAAAACTATTTTTAATCTATTTTGAATGTAGTGAAGGAGTTAAAACTAATTATTTAGAACTCCAATCCAAGGGTGAACTGCTGGGAGTTCTATCCCGTGTGCATTGTCATGCTGCTCTGTCATACCACATACAGACAGTGACTGAGCACCACTTATCCCATCGGATGAGTGCTGTAAAACTGGATGAATCCAAAATCGCTTTACAACAATGTTGTAGTGCTTGCTCCTAATGAAGTCAACAACTCTGGTTTGATGAGCTGTTCTCTCTCAGAAATAGCATTTTGCTTATAGATGTGGTAAAATGTCAATCAATCACTTGGGGGTGGGGAGGGGAAGGGATGTATTCTAATATTGCTCTCACTGCTATGGTATTAGTGTTTTCTTTTAAAAGGACACACAATTCATGTCTATTTTAAGTTTCTTTTTCTGTACCCTTCTATTGTGCAAAGCATGCACAGACTCGGTTGCATGCTTTGGGTATGGAGATAGTAGGTACAGCCACCCAGGCAATCACAGATTCTTACCATCTCCCTACTGATGAAGACATTATAAATAATTGTGCACTGGTAGCCCTATTAGGAGAAAGCTGTTTTCATTTCAGTCATGTTAGCCAAACTTATACTACATTAAAAAAAAAAAACAAAAACAAATGTGCAGTTCCTCAATTTCTCTCTGCACTTGATTTGGTTTTAGCCAGGCAATTAAAGTTTCAGACAATTGGGTTGGAGAATGACAGCTTCTATTGTTCCAGCATATGGCAGACAGACAAGACAAACAACAGACTTGAAGCAGATGCAAGCTATTATATCTGAAACCTGTATTCAGACACTAATTGTAATGTTTCAGATTTACCTATTGACTCCTATTCACAAAAATGTTAAAAAGGACACGTATGCAGAAATAATGTTATTGATGAGAGTAAGTGCAAAGACATGGCTGCTACAAGATTCCCCCCCCCCCAGTAAAGTGGTTAAATACATATAGATATGCAAAGCTTTTTGTTCAGAGAGCAAGCTGCATGCAACACCAGGAACTTTGAAACCAAAAGTCTTCTTGGACTACTCTACTAAAGAAACCGTCTGTAGAAGCCACCTATGACAAACAAGGTCATTAAGCATGCAGCCCTTCAGTCTTGCAAGCTGTTGCGGTAAGCAGCTGTTGCAAAGGGGTGAAAGGTCAAATTATCAGTTTTGAAGAGCCATGCTTTGAATTAAAATTAGCTACTCTCTCTCAGAGCTAAGTGTCTTTCCTAGTAAAGGCACATTTCCATACATTAGCTGCCAGAGAACAAGCATTTGGAAAGGGGGGAGAAAGAGAAGAGTAAAATTTAAGTCTGCTAAATATACATTATATAAAAGGATGTGTGTCATCTCCAAAAGCTTTTCCCTACCCAGGTAAGCAAGACACCAGAAGTTATTTGTCAAAAACAGTTTATTATAAAAACAAATGCTTCAATAGCAGCATAAGTAGTAATAAAAATGATTATTGCATTAATTAAACCAGTTTTGCAAAGTAGCCAAAAGGCCTGATAAGTCAGTCTGTACAAGACAGTCTGCATAAAAGTCTTTGTATTGTCACAGTAACAAGTCTCTAACTAGGCCATCAAAGTTTTCCTCCTAATATTTCATAGACATTGCCAACAATTCCTAGTTACAATGTTGTTTTGTCCAGTCCTTCCATGTGATTTTTGTCCAATTCCCAACCTTCTGTCCTGCCTTCTGGAACAGTTCCACTCGACCCTGAAACTTGCAGTTTTTTCAGCTCCTGGAAACTTGCAGTACTTCCTTCAGCTCCATGGTATGCCAGCCCCTCCACTAGCCCCACTGCATAGTGGGGCCAACCTGCTGGCACGAGCCATCCTCTTTCTCTTCTTTTCACAAGAGCCTGCTTGGTGCCAGTCTGAGCGACTCAATCCGATCTCTTGACCAAGCTAATCCACAGAATCAGCAACTTGTTGCACACCAGGTGAGCCAACACCATGAGAAGAATACAACAAAGGTTTCAGCCTTCCTAGTGCACTGGATATACATCACTCCGGCAGGGTGATTGTGGGTACCCAGTCGTTGACCTTCCGGCTTTCCTCACAAAACAAGTTCAGCTTTTCAAGGGCTGGATCCTTCCATGCATCCCCATTGGGGTTCTGCAATAGAAAAAGAGCTTCCATGAGTAAACACATTCCTGGTCCTCAGAGCAGCACTGAGCTGGGAGAGCATGCTGGCACGAAAGGAGTGGATTTAGTCCTTTAAGTTGGCACATCCCCTTCGAGGGGAACAAGCAGGACCTTGCTTTTTGTTGGGCAAGTTGCAGGGAGGTGGGGAAATTCATGCTAAAGTAGCGTCAGACAAGTATCCAACACACACACCTCTCAGACTGTCTGGGGAAGGGGTCTCCAGCAGAGGCACCTACTAGTGTCACCCCAAGGGCACCCATGGAGCAGATGCCAAGCTGCTTGCAGAGGGCAGCCATGCCCACAGCACCTCCAAACCCAGCTCAGCCACTCACCATGATGAGGATACAGTGGAGGTCTCTGGGCTCGCCCGCCTCCTCGCCAGGCCCCAGGATCTTGGCCAGCTTGGGGGTGTCATTAAGCCGCACGATGTCAATGTCATTCTCGCAGCAGAAGGCTTGGATGAGAGTGAAGTGGATCTGCAGGGCAATGTCCCCCTCATCCTCCTCATCCATGGCCAGCACGCAAAACGCCACGTTATCTGGATCCCTGCGGCAGGGGGGGGGGGGGGGGGGGGAGAGGCAGACATCCATTAACTCCAGGCTCCACACACCAGGCAAGGAGGGAGGTGGCTGGACGGACAGATAGGCAGGCTGGGGAATTAGACACTGGCTACAGACTTACACATTCATCAGCTTAGCAGACTCGTAGACCCCAGCCGTGAGGCAGCTACGCCGCTGCGCCGATACCAGGAGCTCATGGAGGGCTTTGCCAGCACCCTGCATCCTGCAAGAGAGGCACAAGGAGGGGGGTCAGCGCCCAGCTGAGCCGCACGTCAGCCCCAGCAGGTCAAGTGCA